CCATTCTGTATTCCTTTGCCTTCAGCTTCAGCAAGCACCTTGGCAGGTTGTGGTGTTTTTTTTTTTGAGATGGAGTTTCACTCTAGTTGCCCAAGCTCTGGAGTGCAATGGCACGATCTTAGTTCACTCCAACCTCTGCCTCCTGGGTTCAAGTGATTCTCCTGCCTCAGCTTCCCGAGTAGCTGGGATTACAGGCATGTGCCACCATGCCTGGCTAATTTTTTGTACTTTTAGTAGGAATGGGGTTTTACCATGTTAGCCAGGCTGAGTTCCTGTTTTTGTTTTGTTTTGTTTTTTTACTGGTGGAGTGACCCAAACCTTCATTCCTGAGGGGTCATTTGTAGTCCTGCCTGGATTTGGCTCTTGCAGTTTCCCATTGACCTTAATCATAGGGCATGGTAATACTAAGATCTAATGGACCTCCTGTATTCCATGCATACTCTTCTTTACCCCTGTTTTGGAGTAGTAGACTGATATCATCTTGATAGTCTGGGTCAATCACCCCAGCCAACACTGTAACTCCCTTCTTAGCCTGCTGACTTAAAGGTAGGAGGAGCCCAAAGTGTCCAGGTGGTGATATTAACTTCCAGTTTATTGGAATCATTGTTGTGTCTCCTGGTAGCAACTTTCCTCCCTCTGGAACTAAGACCTCTAGGCTAGCAGAAGCAATGTCACAGCAACAAGAAGCAAAAATTTTGCTAATGGATCACTAGGCGTGACACCCATCCCAGTTTTTGTAAATTCTAGGCAAATGGTCTATGAGCAAACAAATGACAATCTCAAGTAGTGCTATGATATGAAGCATACCCCACCAGTGCATGACAAAAGCTCAGAAGGCCTGTGTCTGAAGCCCATGACTGGTCTAATGAAGGATGTTGTCAGACAGTCAATGATAAAGGATGCCACCGCATAAAGCATTCACTCTTCTAACAGAGTATGAGACAATGAGCGTTACTGTCTCCCACATTTTGCTATGGTCTTTGCCTTCCATGTTTGAGGTTATAAACTATAAAAGCTAGAGGTTAATATGTTTGAGGTTCTGAACTATAAGACTGCTAGAAAATGAATATATATATATATATATATATATACAATTTATTTATATATATATGTATATATAATGTGTATTTAAAAGTAATTTCTGTACGAGACAGTGTAACCTGACCTAAAGAAGTAAGGCTAAGGAATTGAATGACTGGGTTTATGTTCTGATTTAGGTACATACTAGCTGTACAACCCTTGACACTTTACCTGAGAGCTCTAAACTTCAGTTTCCTTATGTTAATAACTGCCTGCAGGGTTGTACCAGGGATCAAATAATAAGAAAGGCCCTTAGTAAGGTGCTATTCAAATATTCATCATTCAAATATTCAAGTGTCAGTTATTACCATAATTAAATAACTTTGTAATTGAAAAATTTTATGTATAATATTCTTTACATTTCTGTAATATCTGTCATTTGGGACCATAAAATAATCATAAAACTTAATTAATAGTGTATGTCTTATATATCTAATATATTTAAAATTCTATTTTAAAATATACCTGCATACACTAAATATAGTTTCCTTTGAATGGTGTCATATTTTATTTTTAAAAGTACAAATATTTTAAAATAAGCTTAATGGTTGTGGCTTTATTAAATTTAGATTATTTTATATTAAAAAATCACAACAAACAAGATTTTACTCTAAACAAAGAGACAAAGGGAAGTTATCATGAGAAATCCAATTTCTTAATTATCCTGGAAACAGGTATAAATCCTCAGCTCTTAGCCAGAGGGAAAATGTGGGGAGACTTTAAACTGAGATAGCAGTTACTGTGTTCCCCCAGCGGTTTCCGATTTCAGGCCTAATCCAGTCCTCAGTGGCTGGATTTTAGATTCAATTTTGCTCAGGTGCTTGCTACATTATTGGGCAGAGCCCTCATGGGAGTGATTTTTGAGGAAAGACCTGAAAGAAATCAGGGAAGGAAGCATGCCAAGATCAGGGAGATGAGTGTTCAAGGCAGAGGGAAGAGTGAGAGCAGAGGCTCTGAGGTGGGACCCAGTTCAGCAAGTTTGCAAAGGAACAGGAAGCACAAAGGGACAGGCAGGATGATGGTCATGTCCACAGAGAACACATCAAGCAGAAGAGAGCATTGAAGGAAAGTCAGGGCCATGAGCCCTCATATCTCTGGGTCTTTCTGATAATGTTCTCTTCACTTGGTATATTAGTCTGTTCTCACACTGCTATAAATACTCAAGACTGGGAAATTTATAAAGAAAAGAGGTTTAATTGACTAACATTTCTGCATGGTTGGAGAAGCCTCAGGAAACTTACAATTATGGCAGAAGGGGAAGCACGCATGTATTACATGGCAGCAAGTGAGAGAGAGCCACTAAGAGCAGGGGAAACTGTCTTATAAACCATCCGATATGAGAGCTCACTCACTATCATGAGAACAGCATGCGGGAAACCTCCCGCGTGATCCCATCACTTCCCTACCTCAACACGTGGTGATTATAGGTTCGTCCCTTGACATGTGCTCATTGCAATTCAAGATGAGATTTGGGTGGGGACACAGAGCCAAACTATCTCACTTGGAATTCCTTATTTTCTCTTTGATTTGCTCTTAACATGTTATTCGTCCTTTAAGAACCAACTCCAGGCTGGGAGCAGTGGTTCACACCTGTAATCCTAACATTTTGGGGGGCTGACACAGGTGAATCTCTTGAGCCCAGGAGTTCAAGACCAGCCTGGGCAACCTAGCAGGACCCCATCTCTACAAAAGTACAAAAATTAGCCAGGTGCAGTAGTATGCGCCTGTGGTCTCAGCTACTTGGGAGGCTGAGGTGAGAGCATTGCTTGAGCCTAGGATGTTGAGGTTGTAGTGAGCTGTGATTGCACCACTGCACTCCAGTCTGGGTGGCAGAGTAAGACCTTGTTTCAAAAAACAAACAAACAGAACACCAACTCAAGCTCTGCCTCCACTGTTTACCCTCTGGGTTCTCACAGCATATTGCATGTGCTTTCAGTGAGCATGTGACTTCTATTCCATCTAGTGTCATAATTAATATGACTTGTTATCTAGAATTTTACAGCCTATCAAGTACTTACACATGCAGTATCTTCTTGGTAGTCAAAACTAACTTGTAAATATCTCATGGTCCTTAATGGGCAGAAGAGAAAGAAAAATTCAGGGAGAAGCTCAGTAACTCAGGGGTCAGAGCACAGCCTTAGTCTTTTGCCCAAGCTGGGGTCATCTTGCCACCCTCCAGCCTTAGTTATTTCTTTTCTCACTCCCACTATTAACTGAGGGTGAAGGCTGTGTCTGAGCCCATTTCTTCCCTTTTCTCTTCTTGGTACTTCCTGGAGCAGACACTGCTGGAATGCCACTTAGAGTCCTGGGTCAGTGTCCTTTTTTCTTCAATGGTTCCCTGCAAATCCTCCTCTTCCTATAGACTCAAGCTACTGTAGCAGCTGGGTCCCAAAGACAGAATTCAAGGAGTGCCAGGGAGTTTATGTTCCTTAGGGGGTGGTTTTAGCCAGTGGCTGACTGACAGGCCCCCTTGCCTCAGATTGTGACAATTCTTTATATTCCAGGGGTCCTCTGAGGATGAGGCTCAATCTAATTTTCTCTGAGCCTTTGCCTGAAATTCGCTCTGTTCCCCACTCTGCCCTGGGAGAATTTCCTTAAGAGATCATTTGCACATGAGTCTCCTTCTCAGAAACTGACCTTCCCCATGCCTAGACCAAAAACACCTAATTCCAAACTTTTCCCCAGCCCCAGAGTCAACATAGCAGTCAGTGTAGCCCACATTGCACAATAGAGCGGATAGATAAATGTTCATTGGTTGGAAATTGGCTGTGAACCAACCTACAGTAGACAGTCAACACACTGATGTATATTATCATTTGTTTGTATAACAAGCATTACTATAGGGCTATCTTCCATGTATTTATTATTCCACTGCATTCATAAAAACAAGCATGGCTCCACTGTCATACCCAGGTGAGTTAGATGGAACAGCGCCACACTCTGAGTTTCAAATTATGAGTCCTTTATTTTTAGCTGGAGACCGAGAGATGGCTAATGCTCAAAATTCTCTTGGCCCCAAGGAAGGGACTTGATTATATTTTATAACTTGATTTAGGTAGGGGAAGAGGAGCCTAGCTGGAGCAGAGTTTACAGAAGCAGAACAAGCAAGTTAGATAAGGAGGCTGGTAACTGGGAGGCAGGAGGTTCTCATGATTGTTGATTTTTTAAGGAGGGTATACACAAGTGGTTCCCATGATTGCTGGTTACCAAGGTGAGTATTTGATACTTGTCATATAATCAATCAAGGGGGGGCATTCACAATGGCAAGTGGGCTTGCCAAGCAGGCTATGGTTACAAAGGTTATATGTTTCAATAGTTCTAAATACAGCATGACCCAGCACAGTTGTAAGACCCAGGTATGCACTTAAGGGAGGAGTGGCAGGAGGGGTGAGGCGGAGGTCAAGATGGAGTCTATCTGGCTCTCAGCAAAATGGAATCTGTCTGGCTAACACCCAGTAGGTTAGCATACCACTTTAACGAGTTACAAGAGGGAGATACTACATGTAAACTAAGGGTATTTGTCACTTTGGAGTTGTTTTTCCCTATAATATAAATTGTGAAAATATGTTAAATTTCTTTGAGTTACCAAGAACTGGGTAGCTCATTTAATAGTTAACATGCAGAAATACTGCATATAATATTTGTAACTTTAAATATTCTCATATTGCTGTTGAGGAAGAACATTCAGTTTTTTTCAAGGAAAGGAAAGGTTTGTTTAGGTTATCAATTGAAAAAATACACACTTCTGATTGAAGGATTAATTTAAAATTAAATAATCTAGATGTATGAAGTGAGGCCCATAAATAATGAAAAGGGAAAACTTTAGTATAATTATTTTTTTTCCATGAAATTTCATTCTCTGTTTAAATAAAAGCCCATCTACATGCATGTATGCACACACAGGCCTAGATGTCCGCAACGCAAAATCTATCAAAGCATATGTTTTCTCCACTTATAAATGCTACTCGGTTAAACTTCTAGAAGGCAGGATCTTTCTACCCCTTCTCCATCCTCCTCAACCAGAAGAGGGCTTTCTCTCTTACCAGGGTTTCCATGGTACCTCTCCTGCGGCACCTGATAGGTTTAACTTGGCACTCGGCATGTTTTCAACTAGCCTTACTCTTTCCCTGCGCCAGTGGACTTTTGAGACAATCTGAGACATATTTGTATCCATCACCAAATTTTTCAAAGTCTTTTGCACATTGGAATTACTCATAAACCTTTAAGACTTAGTAAACTTCTTTTTTTCTGATTATAAAAATAGTACATGTTCTTGTAGAAAAAGAGAAATTGCAGAAGCATGTAGTGAACTGTAATAACATTAGCCAAGATCTAATCACCCAGAGATTACCATTCTTAATATTTTAGGATCATTCATTTTACCATTTTTTCTGTGTAAATTTAATATATATACACAAACACATTTAATTATTGAGGAGTTATTTTTTAAGCTGTTTCTTATTGTAAAAACAATTTGGTATCTGACTTCTAAAATTTAATATGTCATTAGAAGTTCCTATTGTTTTATTCCACTAAGTCATGACTTTTATATGTTATTCAATATTCTATCACGTTGCTATATCATAATTTATTATATCCTCTCCATATTACCAGACTTTTAGATTGTTTCCAATATTTTGCTCTTATAAACATTATAAATAATGCTATAATAAACATTTTATACATATAAATACTAGAAGTAAATGAATAAAACTATAGAAATACATTATTTTTAGAAAGTTTGTACCAATTAATTTTGTTATGAATAGTAAGAGTAGCTATTATACAATCCCCTCAAAAACTGATGCAGGATATTTTTGCTCCTCAGTTCAGCTAAATCTGGGTTTGAGTCTGAATACCAAAAAAAAATTAGGCATGTGGACACATTGAAAATTGAGGTGGATGAAACTCATTAAGTGAAAGGAAAACTCTCAACTAAAAAGGGGTCCTGCATGCAGGATTTCCACTTCACGAAAATTGAATACCAGGCCACCACACATGAGCTAAGGAGGCCTGGCTCCTCTCCCGCATAGGGTGTGAATTTCTAGTGGCTCCACTCTGTCCTTCCAGTGTGCATGTGAACCCTTAATCTGAGCCACTCCGCATTGATTTATTGCTCTATTTTCTTTACTGTGCATGTGATAAAGACAGAAATTTTCACTGTGAGCATGTCTAGGCAAGCCCCTGGTGCACAATGACCTGGGTTGCATTTGTCTGTCTCCTGCCTCCATCGTTCCCCACTCTAACGAAGTACATCTAACTGCCTTTAGAATAAGGATAAAGAAAATAACTAATCTTAACTGCTTCCTGCTGACAAGGGGCATTGATTTGAGCAAACAGCAGTCAGATCTCCCTCAAAGGCCTAAGAGTTCCCAGTAAAAGGGAGCCAAGGTTTGAGGCTTCAGTTGCATGACCATTTGGAGTTTGAGAAGACAAACTGGATTATTAGAAGATATGTATCAAATGAAAAAGAATGGGGAATCTGGACAGCTAAAAAATCCTGAGGCTGCCAGCATGTCCAGATAACTGGTGGCTGTAGTTTTGCATGCTAAGATTTGGGTGCATGGGGCTTGGCTTTGGTTAGTTCTATTGGTCTTATTTTTCCAAAAAAGAAACCTCCAGGTTATGGGAACCCTGTTTACTCCTGTCACCTGGCATGATTTGCAGGATAATTGCCCAGAACTAAAATATTGATCTAGGTTTTTGTATTACCCATCCCTTTTTTTTTCTTCTGAGTGGCAGCTGGAAACCACTAATTGGTTCACAAGAATAAGCAGGGTTAGTTTAAAATGCAGGTGAAAAACTAAAAAAACAACTAATGAATCTATAATTTAATGTTGTGTCATTAAATTTTGAAGTTTTAAAATCGAAGTTTTGGAACATAATTTTTCTCTCCAGCCCTCATATTTGTTAAAAACAAATTATGATAGGACTGACTTGTTTGCAAAATAAACTTCAGTCTTATACTTGGCCTGATTATTTGCATAGAGTGCAGCAAGAATAATTATTTTTACATTGGCTTCTTAAATTGGCTTTGATGAAACATTCTTCCACAAGGAATCTCACATAGGACTTTTTAAAGCTGAGCCCAGTCATGGGTTTGTGCCCTCAAATACCTGTGAGTTGGATGAATTCCTTTTTTCTTGAGGTCCCAAGAATATGGAGTTCCTGGGCCTGTTAGAAAGTGGCATTATTTACTCACCACAGGTTAGGAACCCTGCATAGAAACTGTGTAGAGAAGGTATGAGGCCAGTTTTCCTAAGGGGTTTTTATTGGCTCTGCAAGTTGAGCTTAGTTCTTGAATAAAGCATACTGCTGCTCTTCTAGTCAAAGCCTTGGTAAAACCAGCTTTCCTAAGGGGCTGTTATTGGCTCTGCAACTTGAGCTTGATTCTTTAAAATAAAGCATGCTGCAGTGTCCTCACCCAAATCTCATCTTAAATTGTAGCTCCTGTAATTCCCAAGTGTTTTGGGAGGGACCCAGTGGGAGATAATTGAATTATGGGGTGGTTTCCTGTATACTGTTCTCATGATAGTAAATAAGTCTCATGAGATTTGATGGTTTTATAAAGGGAAACCCCTTTCACTTGATTCCCATTTTCTGTTGCCTGACATCCTGCAAGATGTCCCTTTCACTTTCTACCGTGATTGCATGGCCTCCCAAGCTACATGGAACTGTGAGTCCATTAAACATATTTTTCTTTACAAATTACACAATCTTGGGTAATTCTTTATCAGCAGCATGAAAATGAACTAATACAACCAGTTTCTCCAATTGCATTGTGTTGCAAAAGAAAATGGATTCTTATTGCACCAATGCAAACAACCATATTGCCGTAAGTTAAGAATACTCACAGACAGTTTCCAAATTCTAGAGGAACCAGGCAGAGAGAAACAAACATGCTCTAAATTTTGATCACATAAGTCTACCTTACTCAATTATTAAAGACTGTAAATATCTCAAAATGAAAGTTTCCTAGACTGAGAAAAACAAAAGACCAGCAATGTTTTAAGTAAAAGTTTACAAAAAGAATACTGTAGTTTTCTATTAGTTCAGTCTATTTAGTTAACTCTTGTTCTGCTTGATATTTGTGAACATTTCAGCTTTTCATGAGTCCTGTACATTTTTCCTTTATTCCATTGTCACAGTCTTCAAAGTTATCAGATAACTGCAATTGAGAGCACCTGTCAAAGCTCTATAGCTGATTCTAAACTGTCTTTTGAAGAGGATCCAAACAAGACAACAATTTTCTGTGAATAACAAAATACCCAGGATAGCTACAGTCATAAACATGATTTGACAAAAAAAATTTGGTATCTCTGTGGTTTACAATAAGTTAACATAACACACTTAATTGTGATTGATAGCATATAATTAGACATTAGAATCTTAGAAATCAAATACAATTTTGGAGCTTAATATTATTCATTAAAATATAACCTGAAGAATATTAAACATCATTTTGGCAATCTCATGTACCTAAACATGTCAGATAATTCTGTTTACCTTTCATCTGGATATTCCAGGGGCCCTCTGTAGCATCTAAAAGCTAGCAGTCAGAAAAGACAAACTTGAGACTAAAATTTGATTTTTGGAAACCTGTTAAATATGTTGGAAGTTTAAAACACTTGATGTTATAAAATAGAATTTCAGATTATCATAAGTTATTTATTTTGCCAAAATGATGACTCAAAAATTTTAAAACAAGGCAAAAACCTTTACTCGTTAAAAGAGAAGACTTAGCTTTCCAAACAATTTGTCTCTTGTCTTCTCTTTCTTTTCCTTGGCAGTCTATCTGGAAGGCAAACAGAAATCTTTCATTATTTTTTACTATTATATGAAAATCTTGCAAAAGGGAGAGAAAGCCAAATTTTATCCTTACATTAGTTTGCTATTAATGTCAATCCCAATTTTTAAAATGAAACCATATAGACAATCCTATCCAACCCTATCCAGTTTGACCATAAGGTAAGATTCTTATAAACCTTTTATAATACTTTACAAATTTTGCTAAAGAGCAGATTTGTGCCTTAAGAAAACCTTGTTGTGCTTTCATTTCAATGCTCAATTTACACAAAAATCATTTAATACTCTTTGGAATTTAGTCAATGTTCACACATAGAATTTCCTTTGCAAGATTAATTTTTAGAAACCCTGCACAACTTGTTTAAACCTTTAACTTTATCTTATCTCATTTAAAACAATCCTTTAACCCTAGGCAAAAATTTTACCTTTTGATACCTTCTTATAATCTTTTAATAAAAACACATTTTACTGTTCTTACATACCTTGCATGTAAATCCATTTTCAGTGGCCTCAATTATGTGTTATAATGGTAACTCTTAGCACTTTTTAGTTTTAGTATAAAATCTGGTAAGTTGTTTTAATTATGCACCAGGCACCAATAAAGTTTGATCTCTTCCAGCATAGTTAAGGATGTGGTTAATTCCATATGTTCCCAGGCCTTACCAGGTTATAAAGGTGACAAGTCAAAGAGTTTTCAAAGGCTGAAGAAACAGTTTACAACCTTAAAACATTGAGTAAATCTAGGATCTGACTTTCATAATTTACACACTTATTTATATTTTAATGATACTTGCATTTTACCAATAATCTTTAAGACAATTTTTATTTCTCAAAGGTTAAGGTCGCATGACCTAAAAGGTATTACAGCTTTTTTCTTTCCTTCAAAGAATATTTGATCTAAGCACTTATTTTTCTTTGAGCCAATTAATTAGAGCTCTTTTTCATAGACATCACACACAACACATATATAGCTACACAGACAAACAGGAGAAGATCCAGGAGTTATAAGATTTTTTTATTTGCCAATCTTCTAATTGGCTATTGGCCTTTGGGTGGGGCACTTTAAGAGCAGGGCTAGGAAAGCATGCAGTTTCTGGGGCCTAATAAACAGATATAGCTGGAAGACAGAGAAAGATTTTGAGAGGGATTTATCCACCTCCAATTCCTGGGGTTCCATGTGGAAAACAGGTTTCTGCCAAAATTAAATCCATGGTGCCTCTCCTGTTTTTCCCAAAGAATCCCATGGCATCAGAAGTTATCTTGGGGCCTCTCATGCATGCATTAAGAGTGGCAAGACAAGGTGAAGAATTATTCAGCTGACTGAGAAAAACATTTTTTTAGCAAAACAGCAACAAAGAAGAGAAAAACAGAAAGACCATTTAAATGTGCCTATAACTTGGATGTCCACTTTTAATTAAGCTGAGCACTGTTGAAGAAAATCCTTTTAAATCTCTGATTACCCAATTTTGGCTGCAATATTGTGGTCAAAATTTCTGTCTCTTGAACTTTACCAAAAGTCACCTCACAGCTGAAACCAGCAAGACTCAATTCAGACACCAGATTGGCTACAGCTTAAGACCAACTTCATAAATTCTTTTTTATTAATCACAGCTTTACAGAGAATATAAACAGTGACCTTTATCATCCCTTTTATACAGTCTGCAGAGGGAAAGAGAGGCCAAAGTCCAATTGGCAAAAAAACTCTTTTACCCTTTGCTGGCATGTCAGGCTCCTGGGTTCCGTTCCCATGAGCACAATTCTAAGCCAACCAAAGAAAAGAAAATTAACTTTTCTCAGTTTGGAGGATGCATCTAAGGAAAGTGTCCTGTAGTGGAATGATACAGTTACCCATTTGCGAAGTGAGGACAAAGGAGGAAAAAGAAAAAAAAGAAGTCTTTTTTTTTTTCCAAAGGAGACACAGGACTTCAGGATGCATTTGAAAGGGGGACAGACTGAAGATAAATGGGTACTCATCTAGAAAGAGGGGAGCCAGGCATCTTTGTTTTCTTTCTCTTCTTAGCAAATACCTGGGGTATGTGAGAGAGAGAAGGAAAAGGTGTCCTCTTTCCTTCTTCTGTCTTTATAGTCCCAAGTTCCAGTGACCTCAACAGGGTGCCACCCATGGGTGACAATGTGGCTTTTACCTATGCTAACAGGTGACCTGGGGATAGGGATATCCATGCTTCCTTACATGCTTCCTTTCTCTCTGCCATCGGTAGCCTTCAAATCCCCTAGACCTCATTTGTGCCATAGATACTAGCATGATCTTTATTCATGAAATGAGAGGCTTGGGTTAATAGACAGGAATCAGTCATGCTCACATGTGCTATGTCTTTTAACTTCTGTTGTCATCTGCCTATGGATCCCTCAGATCCATTTTTTTCCCCCAGGGCTTCAACTTGAAGCTTGGAATTGAGTTTGGGACAAAAAAAAAACTGCCTCAAAAGGGTGCATGGACTCATCAAGCCCCAGGTGCCCCTTTCCAGCCTGCCTGTTGCCTCCTTATCTTAAGCCAAATGCTAAGGTGAAACTGTGGAATTGGGTCCTTCTCAAACAAGAAAGGGAAAAAGGGTGTCCTGTAATTGGGGTCCTGGTCTAATGAGATGCCTTCCAAATGGGAAAACCTCTGGCATAGCAAAGCCTCCGCTACTCACAGGGATGTGTTATTAGGTTGGTACAAAAGCAATCACGATCCCCACCATTCTAATTAATGGCAAAAACCACAATTATTTTCATACCAACCCACCACCTCGTGACCTGGTGGAAAAAAGAAAACAAACAACAAACACAGCTTAAATGCAGAACTGTGTTAACTACTGACAAGGTAGAGAAAAGAAAAAACAGCTTAAGTGCAGGGTGCAGAAGATGCCAGGGAGAAGAACCTCTTATTCTTATGCAAATGGGTTTCTCCAACAGGGAGATAAACTTTTAATTGCTGTTAGACCAAGCTGGGCCCTTCAACTGGGGGGAGGGGAAAACTCTGTGGACATATGGTGGGGGACACTGGTCAGCCAACCATGCAGGGTCTGGGCCCCCAAGACTGTTCTGGGGCCCAGGAAGTGGTTGTGGCTCAGTCCTTCTCTGCATTGCCATTGGATCCCACATGCACAGGCAGCAGACACGGCCATGCACCCCAGTTGGAAAGGATGGTGGGGGTGCAGGGAGCTGCTGTTTGCCCATCCTTCCTGTGTGTACACCTGTGGCCTTTGGGGTGGGGTCGAATACCCCAAATATTGTAAGAGAAAAGATAGGTGCTATTACAGTCCCCCCAAAAAGGAGGAAAATGCCATAGAAAAGACTGGGTTGAACTGAGGCTGATGTTCTCAACCCCTTGCAGGGGTGCCAGTTTACCCTGACCTCAGTAAAAGTCTGAGGATGAGAAAGGTCAGAAACAAAAGGGAAAGAGATTTTTAGGTTTGCATCTTACTTACCCTTCCTCATGTCCCTGTATAGGCTACCACAGTGATGCAGAATTTTTTGCTCCTTAGTTCAGCTAAATCTGGGTTTTTGTTCTCACGACCAGGAAAAATTAGGCACACAGACATTGAAAGAAGTTGCTGCTCCTTAGTTCAGCTAAATCTGGGTTATTGTCTAACGACCAGGAAAAGTTAGGCATGCAGACATATTGAAAGGTGAGGAAGGTGGAATTTGTTAAGTGAAAGGAAAGCTCTCAACAAAAAGAGGGGTCCTGTGTGCAGGTTTTCCACTTTACAAAAATTGAATACCAGTCCACCACACATGAGCTGAAGAGGCCTGGCTCCTTCCCTGCATAAGGTGCGCATTCCCGTTGGCTCCACCCTATTTTTCCTATGTGCATGCTGGCCCTTTGTCTGAGCCACTCCACATTGATTTATTTTCCTTACTGTGGATGTGTTAGGGATGGAATTTTTCTCACCATAAGCATGTTCAGTCAATCCCCCTGTGCACCATGACATGCGTGGAATTTGGCTGTCTCCTGCCTCTATCACAACCCTAGGCAGTTTCCCCCCAAAAATAAAAAGTTTAATTTTATAGATGAAAAGTACTACCTTATTATTTGTTTTAATTTTCATTTTAGAAAAGTAAAAGAGATTAATTCTCTTCATCTTTTTCTAATGTCAATTTGGAGTTTTTCTTAATGATTTATATGGCTCAATATGAAGATATGAATAATTTGTCATATATATCCTTTTATTATTTATTATTGTGTATATCTTACTTAAGAGATCATGCATATATACACATGTATGAATATATATATGTTCAGTTTAAAGAAAGATGATATAGTAGCTACCTGTGATTCCAAAACAGCCTTGAGAAAAAGATTACCAGTACCTTAAGCCCTCTTGTATGTTCATTCCTTCCTTATCACTTTTCCTCTCTCCCCAGCTCAAAGGTAACCATTAACTTGAAATTTGTATAAATTATTGCCATCTTTTTACATAAGTTAAAAATATCTAGGTTCAATTTTGCCTGCTTTTGCGTTGTATGAGATAATATGGTATGCACTGTACTATGGCTTATTTATTTATTTTTACAGAATTTCGATTTTAAGATTCATTCATGCTAATGCATGAAGTTGTAGGTCATTCACTTCCATTGCTTTATGTTATTTCCTTGACAAACATTTGTAATGTTTACACTGTTATGTTTTTATAAGCAATGTGCTGCCAAAACCGCACATGCCACCCGTGTGGTTTTCACTTGGTAGGCATGCTCTGGGATTTTTCTAGGGTTATCACTAAAAGTGGAATTACTGAGGGTTCCATATATGCTTATATGCAGCTTTATTTGGTAATACAAAATTGCTTTTCAATCTAAATGTACTCATTTACAATCCCTTCAGCAATGTGAAAGAATTATAGTTGCTCCACATCTTTGCTAAGTAGCATTGTCAAACTAATTTTTGCTAACATAATGGGTTTGGAATGTTATTTTATTGTGATTTTGATTTGTGTATGTTGGTCACTCCTGTTTCCTCTTCTGCATATGTGTCCTTTGACTATTTCTTTTTATTGTGTAATTATCTTATTGACTCATATCTTTCTATATTCTGAAAAATAATTATGTGATTATTGTATGTTTTGCAATTATCTTCTTTCAGTTTATGGCTTGTCTTTTTTACTTTGTCTCTGTGTCTTTTTTTGTCTTTGTATGCCTTCTCTGAACAGAAAAACCTTGATTTGAATATAGCTGAGTCCCTCAATCTTTGCTATATGGTTTGTGCTTGTTGTGTCTGGCTTAGGGAATCTTTCTCTGTGTCAAGGTTATAAATATATCTTCCTA